TGTTCATTAGTGTAGCAACACACTTTGGTTAGGAACTGGTTATCTTTAGTGTAGCTTAGATGTCTCAGTTATGGACACTAAGGAACTTTATCTTTGGTTACTTTTAATCTGGCCAGTATAAAAAAAAGAGCTTGTGTACTGTAATAATGAATCTGAACTTTCCAGATGTACTCTCATGAACACCATGACCAAATGTCAACCACAGCCGTTGCCCAGCTGTTGTCAACGATGCTTTATTGGAGGAGATTTTTCCCATATTATGTCTCCAATATACTGGCAGGCATTGATGAAGAGGGTAAGGCAGACCTTAGTGTTGCTTGTGTTTTCTTGTCCTCAGAGTGGTGTACAACTGCATAATAACCTTCTTGCTTCCACGCCATGTTGGGAAATTTCCAACCGCTCGCTATCTGATAACGAAATATTTGTCATGCATTTTCCAACTGTTCATTACCTAATGGCCAATCTTTAGTCATCCAGTCACGGAGCCTCACTCCTTAAGTTTGAAACAAATTTGCAGCCACTTCCCTTAAACATAAGAGGCTGAAACTTTTACTAGAATTGCTTGAATCATTGTACAGTGCAGTGCAGTACAGTATTTTATTAAGAAAAATATACAGGCACCGAGAAGTAAATAAGAAGTATGTTTATTTAAAAAAAAATATATATTTTTCAACTTCAAATTTTTGGGAGATGCTTGTGATACTCTACACTTTTTTTGTTACTCAGTTACATGCACACACAATCCCACATGCAGAATGTGGGAAAAAAATTACTGTACTATAATCTAAAAAATATAAAGGGAGTAAACTTTTCTTCGTGCACTTGAGTTAGCTCGCGGAACCCCCAGGAGGTGGGCTGAGTTAAACAAAACCACATTTGTCCAGCTTGTCTTTTGTATTCTGTTCCAGGTTACTCTATTTATTCACTATTTGGAGTTCTTTATGTGATTATGAAATTGAGTGAAGGATTATTGAGTTTCATAAAGATGGGGGCTTAATTTTACACAAATATACCAAAACAATCACTGAAGAGTAATAAATAATTGATTGTTGAGTGAGTTAACCAATCACTTAAACTGAGAAGTATTCAGGATACCTAATGTTGTTCACTATTAACAATGAGCATGTCATAATGTTGCATTGTAATTGGTAAGGTGGTTTGGTTCTAAATCTTCACCAGAAAATATTTTATGATTGCAAGAGAAAATAAACAATATGTAGAGCTTGAAGAGAATTGTCTCTGTGATGTACTGTAAATATATATTTATACAACACCAGCTTCACACCTTCAATAAACGTTATTTGCCTAAGACATCATTCCTGTACAGGTACTGTACTCATAAAGTGTAATGAATGAATACTGCTACTTTGGATCACTAGTTACACTTACAAACACTGTCAGACTTACAGTACTTGTAAAAGGAGAACATTATCATTATTACATGGCTGCTGTGGGCAGTAGTACGAGTAGTGGGTATAATACCATAAATCAGTTCAATATTTGGCAAAGTTTTTTTTAAGGTTCTGTATGGGGTCTGGTTTTGGTTAGATCTAAGACTTATTTTTACTTAACATATGAATTTTTTTTATTGTTGTTCAGGTAAGGGTGTGGTGTACCATTACGACCCTGTTGGACACATGGAAAAACTGACGTTCAGTGCCACTGGTGCATCAGTGTCACAGATTCAACCCCTGTTAGACAACCAGATTGGAGGACTAAACATGCTGGATGTTCAACCTCCCAAAATGACTAAGGTGCAGTGCAATATTTAAAAACCATAGAGCTATAGTATTTAGTTTTATGTTGAGAAAGCATCAGTTAATAATACCAGTGGTATCTCATCATTGGTGGTGTAAGAGGACATTTGGTTTTAGGTGGGTAGGTTACTGTTCTGATTATGAATATATGGTCCACGATTCGACTGCAGAGTAATTAGTGGCCAAAATGACCCTTGAAAGATTTTACTGACATTTTTCACTGCTAATTACTCATCAACTATGGGTTTCCAAGGTGTAATTTAGGGTTTGTGTGTTATTCTGAAAGTACTTAATTAGTTAAACCCCTTAAATTTCAATTCTGAGAAAAAAGTATATTTTGGTCAAAAATTTTGTAAGGCATTAATTAGACTTACGTTTTTGGCCCAAAATTAGATTTTGCTGAAAATCACAGTGTGGGTACTCCTGAGCTTGTTGATTATTCATATGTGGTCAACAGTTCGATTGCAGAGTAATTAGTGGCCAAAGTGACCCTTGAAAGATTTTTCAGACAATTTTCAATGCTAATTACTCATCAACTATGGGTTTCCAAGGTGTAATTTAGGGTTTGTGTGTTATTCTGAAAGTACTTAATTAGTTAAACCCCTTAAATTTCAATTCTGAGAAGAAAGTATGTTTTGGTCAAAAATTTTGTAAGGCATTAGACTTACGTTTTTGGCCCAAAATTAGATTTTGCTGAAAATCACAGTGTGGGTACTCCTGAGCTTGTTGATTATTCATATGTGGTCAACAGTTCGATTGCAGAGTAATTAGTGGCCAAAATGACCCTTGAAAGATTTTTCAGACATTTTTCAATGCTAATTACTCATCAACTATGGGTTTCCAAGGTGTAATTTAGGGTTTGTGTGTTATTCTGAAAGTACTTAATTAGTTAAACCCCTTAAATTTCAATTCTGAGAAAAAAGTATATTTTGGTCAAAAATTTTGTAAGGCATTAGACTTACGTTTTTGGCCCAAAATTAGATTTTGCTGAAAATCACAGTATTGGTACTCCTCAACTTGCTAATTATGACTATGTGGTTCACGATTCGATTGCAGAGTAATTGGTGGTCAAAATGTTCCTTGAAATATTTTACTGACATTTTTCAATGCTAATTACTCATCGACTATGGGTTTCCAAGGTGTGATTTAGGGTTTGTGTGTTATTCTGAAAGTACTTAATTAGTTCAATCACTTAAATTTCAATTCTGAGAAAAAAGTATATTTTGGTCAAAATTTTTGTAAGGTATAAGACTTACATGTTTGGTGGTTTTTGGCCAAAAATTAGATTTTGCTGAAAATCACAGTATGGGTACTCCTGAACTTGCTGATTATGACTATGTGGTTCACGATTCGATTGCAGAGTAATTAGTAGCCAAAATGACCCTTGAAAGATTTTACTGACATTTTTCAATGCTAATTACTCATCGACTATGGGTTTCCAAGGTGTGATTTAGGGTTTGTGTGTTATTCTGAAAGTACTTAATTAGATAAACCCCTTAAATTTCAATTCTGAGAAAAAAGTATATTTTGGTCAAAAATTTTGTAAAGTATAAGGCTTACATTTTGGTGGTTTTTGGCCAAAAATTAGATTTTGCTGAAAATCACAGTATGTGTACTCCTGAGCTTGCTGATTATGACTATGTGGTCCACGATTCGATTGCAGAGTAATTAGTGGCTAAAATGACACTTGAAAGATTTTACTGACATTTTTCAATGCTAATTACTCATCAACTATGGGTTTCCAAGGTGTGATTTTGAGTTTGTGTGTTATTCTGAAAGTACTTAATTAGTTAAACTCCTTAAATTTCAATTCTGAGAAAAAAGTATGTTTTGGTCAAAAAAGATTTTCTGGAGTTATAGACTTTACATTTTTTTAGTAGTTTTGTTAAAATTAGATTTTGCTGAAAATCACAGTATGGGTACTCCTGAACTTGCTCTTTATGAATATGTGGTCCACGATTCGATTGCAGAGTAATTAGTGGCCAAAATGACCCTCGAAAGATTTTACTGACATTTTTCAATGCTAATTACTCACCAACTATGGGTTTCCAAGGTGTGATTTAGTGTTTGCGTGTTATTTCGAAAGTACTTAATTAGTAAAACCCCTTAAATTTCAATTCTGAGCAAAAAGTATATTTTGGTCAAAAATTTTGTAAGGTTATAGACTTACATTTTTGGTGGTTTTTGGCCAAAAATTAGATTTTGCTGAAAATCACAGTATGGGTACTCCTGAACTTGCTCTTTATGAATATGTGGTCCACGATTCGATTGCAGAGTAATTAGTGGCCAAAATGACCCTCGAAAGATTTTACTGACATTTTTCAATGCTAATTACTCATCAACTATGGGTTTCCAAGGTGTGATTTAGTGTTTGCGTGTTATTCCGAAAGTACTTAATTAGTTTAACCCCTTAAATTTCAATTCTGAGCAAAAAGTATATTTTGGTCAAAAATTTTGTAAGGTTATAGACTTACATTTTTGGTGGTTTTTGGCCAAAAATTAGATTTTGCTGAAAATCACAGTATGGGTACTCCTGAACTTGCTCTTTATGAATATGTGGTCCACGATTCGATTGCAGAGTAATTAGTGGCCAAAATGACCCTCGAAAGATTTTACTGACATTTTTCAATGCTAATTACTCATCAACTATGGGTTTCCAAGGTGTGATTTAGTGTTTGCGTGTTATTCCGAAAGTACTTAATTAGTTAAACCCCTTAAATTTCAATTCTGAGCAAAAAGTATATTTTGGTCAAAAATTTTGTAAGGTTATAGACTTACATTTTTGGTGGTTTTTGGCCAAAAATTAGATTTTGCTGAAAATCACAGTATGGGTACTCCTGAACTTGCTCTTTATGAATATGTGGTCCACGATTCGATTGCAGAGTAATTAGTGGCCAAAATGACCCTCGAAATATTTTACTGACATTTTTCAATGCTAATTACTCATCAACTATGGGTTTCCAAGGTGTGATTTAGTGTTTGCGTGTTATTCCGAAAGTACTTAATTAGTAAACCCCTTAAATTTCAATTCTGAGCAAAAAGTATATTTTGGTCAAAAATTTTGTAAGGTTATAGACTTACATTTTTGGTGGTTTTTGGCCAAAAATTAGATTTTGCTGAAAATCACAGTATGGGTACTCCTGAACTTGCTCTTTATGAATATGTGGTCCACGATTCGATTGCAGAGTAATTAGTGGCCAAAATGACCCTCGAAAGATTTTACTGACATTTTTCAATGCTAATTACTCATCAACTATGGGTTTCCAAGGTGTGATTTAGTGTTTGCGTGTTATTCCGAAAGTACTTAATTAGTTAAACCCCTTAAATTTCAATTCTGAGAAAACAAGTGGAACAAGCTTAGCAACTTTGTAGTAAGTGCTGGAACGCTGGAAAGTTTTAAAAGGAGGCTAGATAGATTCATGGATGATAGAGAGTGGTAGTAACTCTCGACAGGAGCTGCCATGCACAGGCCAACCGGCCTATTGCAGACTCCTTATGTTCTTATCACTTTGTAATACCTGTTGTGTATCACATTACAATAATTGTTTTAAATAAGTTCTGGAACCCTTAAGTGGCAGGGCTGAGGTAAACACTTCTTTTGGGTTTTATCTTTATTGTTGAAATAATTATATGCACAGTACTTAGTTTGGGAGAGAATGTATTGTGAATTATCTCCAGGGAAGTGTTTTGAGTACACTTATATAATGAACACTTAAGTTACATGTTCACCCCTTAACTAGTGGTAAGACTCTGGCCCCTCTCCTCCGAGCGTGTGAGCGGAGAAGCGGGCGTCAAGCTGTGTTTTGATTAGTCAGGTGACCTCGCTCGACTTCTGAGAGAGTTTGAGCCGCGTATAACGTGAACAATTACCAAGTCATTGTTTAATAACTTAGTGAATAATTTGGTGTTATTCATTTGGGTGACCATTTATTTAATTCAAAAGGTGCTGTTAGAACTTTCTCATCACCACCGCCACAATCATTTCACCACCGCCACAATCATTTCACCACCACAATCACTTAACCGCAATCACTCTCCCACTATCAATTCACCACTGTGGCTTCACCACCTCCACCACAATCACTTCACCATCACCAGAATCACTTCACTAGAAACACTCACCAATATCACCAGAATCAGTTCACCCCATCACCAGAATCACTTCACCACCATCACCACAAACAATTCATCACCATAAATACTTCACCACCATCACCACAATCACTTCACCACCATAAGAACAGAAGAACATAAGAAAATAAGGAGTCTGCAATAGGCAAGTTGACCTGTGCATGGCAGCTCCTGTCGAGAGCTACTACCACTCTCTATCATCCATGAATCTATCTAGCCTCCTTTTAAAACTTTCCAGCATTCCATCACTTACTACAAAGTTGCTAAACTTATTCCACTCGTCCACCACCCTATTTGTGAACCAGTTCCTTCCTATCTCCCTCCTAAACCTAAACTTATCCAATTTAAATCCGTTGCTACGAGTCCTATCCTGCTCGGATATTATAAGAACTTTATCTATGTCTCCTCTATTGATTCCTTTCACCCACTTAAATACTTCACCACAATCACTTCACCATCACCACAATCACTTCACCATCACCACAATCACCAAAATCACTTCGCCACAATCGCTTCACCACAATCATTTCACCATCACCACAATCTTCATCATCACCAAAATCACTACACTATCACCACAATCACAATCACTTCAATTGTGTCTTATAAAAACTAACCCACATTATAGAAATATTGCCCAGGCGTTTAGTATCTTAACCGCGGCTCATAGGCTAGTTACCGTGGGTGATGTAATTATATAAACATAATGTTTGTAGCCCACATTAATATAAGTATTACGGTCTGTCTGACGGGCTAATACATTATTATAATGTACCATCCATTTCTATATTTATCAATTTTTAAGTTGTTGTTCAGGTTTTAATCACCAGTAATTAGATATTTATAATAAAGTAGATATGAGGATAAATATTGAAAAATACGAGGGTGGAAATCACATTTA